ACTTTTACGTTACTAGTACGTACGTTCGTAGTAGTACGTTACCGTACCTAACCTAACTACGTACGTACGTACTCTAACGACAACTAGTACTGTCTATATATATATATATATATATATATATATATATATATATATGAGTAGGTTACTTTCTGGGTAGAAGGCCTGATTGGAATTATATGAGATAATTATTGAAGCAGATGTGGAGGATTAATACTGATCTCAAAATTTTCTATAAATGATGGGTTTCTCGTGCTTAGATTCAAATATGTAGATGAAATGGAGGTAGCTGTCAGGCTGGTGCTCATGGTCCAGAATAGAAGCTTAGACCTTAGCTGGGGCTTCCACTACAACCCAATCAGAGTTCACCGTGAGGGGGAGAATTCCCTCACTCACTGCGTTGGAGATGAAGGCAGCTAAGCCTCGTGTGGGAGAGGATGTGCATCATATTCCAGGCACGACGATCAATTTAGTGTCCGTAATGCAAATCACTGCTGTAGAATACTTTGGAGTATTTGGACTGGATGATGTCAAAGTGTTTGAGAAGTTGAAGATCAAAGGTGACCCGATCATGCATGGGTGCCAAATGGACGAGCATTACATATTGTCAGCAGGGACTGCATGTGTGGTAGATGAGTATATGGATGAGGCTGAGGAGAGGCAATTCTCACCCATGCCATCAGGTGATGGGACTTGCACGAGCAAATCAATTAGTCCATTGAAGACGGGCATAAGGAAGACCTGTGATGCAGCAAATGAGTCGCAGGTTGGGCTTACATAGGGGAGTAACAATTATCACAATTAAAACATCTAAAATAAGATGAGGTCATCAAGATGCAACCGCGAAGGTCTTCACGAATGCGAAAACCAAATCCAAGGTATGCAGATACAGCATATGCGCATGTCTCGGTTGATACGACAAAGGGTAGTATATGATGTTTGAGAGTTAGTACCGAGGGGGATTGTGATTGTCATCGCCAGAGGGGCTAGGCCGGCAGGAGGGGTGGAAATGATCAGGCGATGTCTCAATGACCAACTCATAAATAACAATTTTGTTGGGGGCTATGTTTGAGTTAGTTACTTAGTTCCCCATTTGGTTAATTCTTATAAACTTGGAAATGTTGCATAGGTTGAATAAAGGAAATTTGGTACCATTTGTAGGTTTAGGTATGGAGTCAAAGACTTAGATTTGCATAGGGACAGGAAACTGGGGTATTTGTATAAGAATAAAGAAGGTAATATTGGGTCTTTAGTAACTTTGAATGGGCAATTACGCAAGACTCTTTTGTAGTTCTATAAAGGATTGATGTACCTTGTGTTTATTTATGGGACAAGGAGAGTACTTTCATTCTTGTCTATCAGATTTTAAATCAAGCAATTGTAAGAGCGTTGATGACTAGATTTAAGATCAAAACAAAATTTCTCATACTTTGTGACATACTCCAAGCCATTTAATTTGACATTTAATTGTTAACGGTAACTGTGACGTGCTTGTACTAAAGGTAAATAGTTTGATTGTATACAATCCCGCGAACAAGAAGTCGACTCTGTCTGTTTTAGATTTGTATGCTTTGGTGTGTCTGTTCCCTTGGCTAGCCTTGCATCGTTGTTATTTCTTTGGAGGTATTATCTTTTGTTGTGTTTGGTGTGTGATCCTTTTGCGCGCAACTCAACGCAGTTCATGTTGCAGGGGAGTTAGTTAAAAAATGTACGGCCCTTTCCCATTTCTCCACTATTTTGTACGATGAGGGCAAAACGTTATGCAAAATTTATCCTCTTCACGCCTGCCATTTGAGCATGAAATATGGACCCAGGTCATGGATTGGATTTATACTGTATAGGAGCCCTAAATACATTTTCCTATGAGGGAAATGGAGGGTTTGAAATAGTTGTTCAGTTGGAGTTTAGACCCATGTTGGAAAAATCGGGCGATCTAACCGGTAACTGCCCGATTAGATTGGAACCGATCACTGGCCGGTTACGGTTTTCGGCAGTTTTGGTGATCAGTCGATATTTTAACAAAAACAATTAAAAAAAACGTATATAAAATCTCAAAAATAAGGAATTTGGTTTGTAATACATTTTTTAATATTCTTTACATTGTGGTAAAGATTAGAAATTGTGTTGGTCATTAATACTCACTTTTATATCTTCCCATCTTTTTCGAAAAAATTTAAAAATAACCCTAGGCACAAATCAATTTTTAAAATCCAATTTTTTCATTAGTTTTCAAATTCATTTGAATATGTTTTGTTTTAATCATTCTTTATATGCTTTTTATATTTTAGTAGATTTTTTTTGTATCTTTCTTATTCTTTCAACAATTTTTTGACCACTCGAGACTTGCCTGGTTAGATCGGTTGAATCGGCCGGTTTACTTGTTAGGCCGGTTAAACCGCTTTCGGCCCCATGTCTGATTAGCCGTTCCGATTTGATTTTGCGAACACTGGTTTAGACATGGAGTGAGTGACTTGCTGCACTACCTCTAAGTAAATAATATATTAAGAGGGGTATAAGTTTGTTGCTTAATACAAAGTGCCATAAAGGAAAAAGTTCACGTACGGTTGCAATTTTATTTGTTGAAATAATGTTGTATTAGTCTACACTGTCCATTTTATTTGAAATAAAAGTTTTATATGAACTAGCAGGTGCAAGTGCCTACTGACCCACAAACTTAATATGGGTATTTTGCAAAGTGCACCGGACCAAAATGTTATAATGACAATATAAAAAAAGATCCCTAAAAAAATACATGATCAAATTTAAAACTTTTTATCTTTTTCATATACTTTTTATCTTTTTCATATTCATGATTATCTTGGCCTATATCATGAATCCCTAAAAATTTGGATGAAAACTTCATCCTTAGATGTATTTTACAAGGGGAACGCATGTATAAATGTCAGTCGGCTGATTGATAGAAATCCTTTCTTAT